AGTGACCAAAGGACAAAGCAAATGGGGTACAATGTCAACAGGTGAATCTGGGTAAAGGTCATTACAAGTATTCTTGGTACAATTTTTATGCTTGCCACTTTTCTGAAAGTTTAGATTATTTTCTAATATGTTTAAGCATCTGGAAATAATATGATAGCAAAAAGAGGTTTCTAGGCACAGAGCTGGAAACTTGGAAAGAAAAGGCTCCAGAATTTACCGACAGCACAGTCATGTTCTAGTGTTATAGCCCAGAATCTCTTCCCTTTGGTGTCAACATAAATTAATTCCTCCCTTGGGTGAGAGTTCAGGCAGGGGATGATGCTTTGGTAAAATGAAGTAGGAGTTGGGGGACCATTCATTAGCTTTTGCTGCCTAACAAGCCATCCCAAACTTAGTGGCTCAGAACAACAAAAATAGCCGTTCCCACACTTCTGTGGCAGGGCTATTCTGATCTGGGCTGGGCTGAGGGGTGCTGGACGGTCGCAGGTGACCTCATCCCCATGTCCGGGGATGGCTGAGATGGCTGTGACCGCTGGAGCCTTTCTCCTTATGACCTCTCTTCCTCCAGGAGGCCAGCACAGGCTTGCTCGATACGGTGGAAGAGGGGTTCCCAGGGACGACAGGGCAAGCCCCCACTTTTTAAGCCCCTGCTTGCATTATGCTTGTAACGTCTTATGAGCCGAAGCAAGCCGTGTAGCCAAGCCTAAGTGTAAGGACGGAGAGACAGACACCCCCATCTCTTAGAGAGAGGGTCATCAGAGTCATGCTGCGAAGGACAGGGATGGTAAGAATTTGCAATCTGCCAAAGAGACCTTCAAGGGTGGTGTGGTGAGTGACAGCGTGAGGAAGGGAGTCGGAAGGAAGAAGACCAGGAACAGGAGCTTATAGGCCAGGAGCGGGTATGGGGGAAGCAGAAAGCTTTGGAAATAACCCTGCACTCTCTTCTCACAGCAAGCTCTGGTGATTCGAGGCGGAGAGAAGATTCAGATCAACGTGGAGGATGTGGTGGTAGGAGATCTGGTAGAAGTGAAGGGCGGAGACCGAATCCCAGCTGACCTCCGGCTCATCTCCTCACAAGGATGTAAGGTGAGAGGATGCGGGAAGCTACGGGAGGGGGCCAAGCACTGTAGTGATCTGGACTCAGTGAAAGAAAGCATGATCTTATTATTCAGAACCTCAAGAAGTTACAGGTGCAAATTTGAGGTCGGAGCCAACAGGGGCTGGTGTCTGCACACCAGTAATGATGGTGTTGGTGGAAGATAAAGATGTGTTATCTTTACAAAGGAACTTTTCTTCCCATGTTCACTTTACGTCCCATCCTCCTGCCCATCCCAGGTGGACAACTCATCCTTGACGGGAGAGTCAGAGCCTCAGACCCGCTCCCCCGAGTTCACCCATGAGAACCCTCTGGAGACCCACAACATCTGCTTCTTCTCCACCAACTGTGTGGAAGGTGAGCATCACATCATAAATAGCCTAGTTTCAAAAGCAGAGATTCAAATAAAGATTTTAGGAATGCTCTATCTTCGAAAGGTCATTGGGTAGGCAAGAGCTGGTGAACAGTCTAGGTCTTCCATCACTCATGAGCTGTATGACCTTTGGTGAAAGTTCAAAGCCACCATTTCCACATTTGCACCCTGATGATACTAAGAGTCGCTATCCTGTAGATTTTCATGTGGACCCAAGGAGATCATGCATATACAATGCTTAGCACAAAACCTACCATGTGGGAAGTGCCCTGCAATCGTCAGCTCCGTATTATTCTGGCTGGTGAATGGACTATGCTCTAGAAGTTGAAAATAGCACATGAGAGCAGAAAGTTACTCAGCCCTGCTAGGTCAGTCTTCTTCTGAGAGGAGCCGCAACTTCTCACTATTCCAGGGAGGCACTGGCATTGGAAACTGGAGTTACCAGAGATGCCACTCACACTTTGGCTTTGCTCCTAGAACGTAAGACACCCTTGAACTGGGAGGCAGTTCTGGCCAAGGTGGTAACAACGGACTCAGTCTCATGTCAACCTTCCCCCTTAAGGAGGCCTGCAAGACTCTCTGGAACACACGTGAAAGCCATTACTCGTACTTAAGAATAAATGTTTGGGTAACTAAGAAACAGCTATTTTTTTTAATTGAACGCCTGGCATGTGCCAAGTGTTACAGATGGGTCTGACTCTCAGGACACTACACAACAAACCTGCACTCTATTTTGCATATGAAGAGCTCAAAGAAATGAAATGCGGTGTCCAAGAGCACAAGCCCGTAGGAAAGCGGAGACTCGAGGATCTAGTGCGAGTCCGTCTCCCAAAGCCTGTGCTCCTTCCACAGACCCTTATCTGGGATAAAGCTTGCCAATGACCTCTCTGGTCATGAAGCTATTCACTTGAAAAATATTTTTAAAAATGAGAGTAACAATAAAGCTGAAGAAGAATCCAACCAGAAAATAAAATACATATTGAAACATTTTTTTTAATTTTTAAAATTTTTTTAATCTTAATTTTTTTAATTTTTAATTTAACATTTTTTTAATCTGAATCTTCTCTCCGCCTCGAATCACCATTTAATTTTTTTAATTAATTAATTTTTTAATCTTTTGATTTTTTAATTTTGATTGGGCAGAAAGATGCAGGTCAGCAAGCTTCCTTCAAAAACACTGGATTTATATTATTACATTTTAGGAAAAAGTTTTGCTTACATTTGTCCTCCCCAAGTAGGTTTTTGGTCAGCAAAGTATATGCTTCAGATAAGGGGAGGAAGGTGGGTGGTGGCACCCCCTCCGAGAAACAAGGGTCTGGCCCAGATGGAGGAGGCTTTAGTCGGAGACCAGAGGGATGCGAGACGGGGCCAAGGGGGTGGAGCTAGTTTGAAGGAGCTCTTGACTCTTGAACTGAGGAATATCTGTGCACTTTGCAAACGAGGAGCACACCTTTAACCTTTATCCCAGGCCCTCACCTCCCTAATTTCATGGCCGTGGTCCCGACGGGGCTGCAGGTACAGACGTCTCTGTCTTTGGGCTCTCATGCATCCCCATGGGGCCTGAGCTGTCTCCCTGGCGATGTGCGGAGTACGGGGCGTCCGTCTGGCCTTGGGTACGGGAGGCTTGCCCATGGGCTTGACCTTCCCCAGGCTGACATCAACCCATCCTGTCTCCAGACACAGGGGATTCATTACTAGATCCTGCCTCTCTGTGCATGGGGAAACCCATGAAGGAGTAAAAAGGAAGAACTAGACCAAACCCTGGCACAAAATAGATATACACGTAGTGCCATACTCCACCCCCGCCCCCAACCCCAAACCCTCTCAGCACCTCTCAGTTCCTGTAGTGTCTTCGACAAGGCTCTGTGAACACGTCCAGCAGGCAGCCCTCTGGCGGGCGGCCGCTGTGGAGCCCATCTGCAGAGGCCTCGTACCGGAGCCCCTCTTCCCCCGAACACCACGAGCACCCCGCTTGTGGCCATCTGGGCGGGACCCCACTCTCAGGCTCCCTCAGCAGAGGCCACCCTGGACATGCAGCGGCCGCTCTGTGCAGGGTGTTTGTGGGAGTTGCTGGAGTAGAATCACCCCTACTCAGTCCCACGCATCATTCTGTATCAGTCCTTCTCAAGACCCCAAATCCATCTAGACGAAGAAAGAAACCAACATTTGCGTGCCTCCACTGCGCCCAGTCCTGTCCTAGGCTCCTGGAATAACCTTTACTCCTCACAGCTTCGTGGACGCTTCCATCCCCTCTTAGAGCTGAGGCAGCCCGAGGGCCAGCGGGTACGGAGCTGGCCCCGGGCCAACAGCTGCCCCGCTGGAAAGCTGAACTCCCAGCCGGAGTCCTTCTGATCCTAAAACAAGTGATATTTCTAGAGTACGTGGCTTTTCTGGGTGATTCTGACCGTGACTTGGAAGGGAAGGAATTTCAGCCACTGTGTGTATAAAGCCGGAAAATTGTTCTGAGCCAAGAACCTTGTCAGGCCCCTCATTTCAAGCCACGTAGGTGAGTGGCCGGCATCCCACGCGTGTAAAGCCCAACAGGACGTCCAAGTCCCCCTTCTGACTCCGGGGGCGGCGCCGGGAGCGAGAGGCCTAGAGCTGCTACGGCTTTGCTCCCCGGCAGGGGTCAGGCTGGCTCCAGCAGGCGGAACAGGGAGGGGCTCGGTTCCCCAGCCTCCATACTATCACCATTAGGGCAGCATAATTCTTCCTTTGGGGGGGTGGCGGCGCTCCGGTCATTTGCAGGATGTGTAGCTGCACCCCTGCCCTCTACCCGCCAGATGCCAGGAGCAGCCCCTCCCACCCCAGCTGGGACAACCAAGATGCCTCCAGCCACTGCCCAATGTCTCCTGGGTGGGCAAACGGCCACCCACGGAGAACCACTGGGGTAGTGAATAACCAGATGTTGGGAGGGAGGACTCTAGCAGAAGGGCGACCCCGACTCCTGGGGGTCTAGAAACTATTCAGCCGCTGAGGGCAAAATAAGAAACATACAGGCAATAGAAGACATTTAGATTAAGTGTAATGAAGACCTTCTTGACGGGGAAGGCAATGAGTCCATGAAAGTGGAGAACTGTGAAATCTCAGAGATTTTTTGGGCGAGGAGAACCTTACTTGTATAAACTAAATATGAGGAGCATAGACTACAAGAGCCTCTCGGACGGTGTTGAGTGTCCACCTTGCTTTTGACCACTGACAGCGTTCTCCTTGTAGGAACGAAAGCCAGCAGCGCCCCCACCTCAGACCTCCCCATTGCTCCGCAGGAACAGCTCGGGGCATTGTGATCGCTACGGGAGACTCCACAGTGATGGGCCGCATCGCCTCTCTGACATCAGGCCTGGGGGTCAGCAAGACCCCCATTGCTGCAGAGATCGAGCACTTCATCCACCTGATCACAGCGGTGGCCATCTTCCTTGGTGTCTCTTTCTTCGGATTCTCGCTGATCTTGGGCTATGGCTGGCTGGAGGCTGTCATTTTTCTCATCGGCATCATCGTGGCCAATGTGCCCGAGGGGCTGCTGGCCACTGTCACCGTGAGTAGCCAAGGTGGAGGGTGGCCTCTGGGCAGACACACCGCCCCAGGGGGTGAAATCGTTTGTATCTCTTTTGCTAGTGAATCTCTCAAGTGTCAACCACTTAGCTCCCACAGGACCTTGACTTCCTCCATCCACATTTTCTGGTGCCTTCTCTTTCTTCTCCATGAGTTGCAGTGCAGGAAGCACTTAGATTCTGTCACCAGCAGTGAGTTAGTCTAGCCTGTACCGGCCAGTGAACTTGGCCAAATCACGGAACATCTCCAGGCGTCAATTTAATTAATCATCGGTTTCTAGAGGAAGATGAATTCAGAACTACAGAATCTTATTGGAAAGGACTTCAAAGCCCAGAGAAATCCAACCTTTCCACCAATGCTGAATATCTTGTGCACAATCCATGGGAGATGACGATTATTTCTAGTCCTGGGAAGCCCGCCCCTTTCGGTCTCCGCTCATTTCACCGCTGGGTTGCTCTAGCTGGATTTCATTGTGTTGAGCAGAAATACGACTTCCTGTTTGGTCCCAGTTTTCCCACCTGAAGAAACACAAAACAAGTCATTTCTCTCTCTTTTACAAACTACGCTTTTGATTGACGGGAGCCATCCTGCCTCCTCAAACTCCCTGGTGGGAGGTGAAATTGTCCCCTTTCCTCTAGTTGTTCTTCACAGGACACAGTCTTCTGACCCCTTGGCTTACTGATCACCTGTTGGAGCTATGCTCTAGATTATCAATATCCTTCTTAAAATAGAAATGAGAATAATACTCAGGGTGTGGTTGGTTAGCACAAAAACCTCAGGACTAGTGATAATATGTAAATAAATCATAACCCCACGATTAGAATTCTGTATTAATATAACCATAGCCTAAGAACTGATTATTTTTTATTTTTTTTATTTTTATTTTATTTTATTTATTTATTTATTTTTAAAGATTTTATTTATTTATTTGAGAGCGAGAAAGAGCACAAGAGGGGGGAGGGTCAGAGGGAGCAGCAGACTCCCTGCCGAGCAGGGAGCCCGATGCGGGACTCGATCCCGGGACTCCAGGATCATGACCTGAGCCAAAGGCAGTCGCTTAACCAACTGAGCCACCCAGGCGCCCCAGAACTGATTAGTTTTTAAAACAACCCTGCCACACACCTGACGTTCACTGAACGTATGGTCCGCATAATTAATGTCAACAAAAATGTCCCAGTTTAAATAATTTCTCAAGTCCTTTCCAGTGGTGCAATATTCCTTCTCGACTTCATGATTCTCCCCTGTTTTCTTCTTTTTTTCTAACTATTGGTACCAGCCCCCTTACCCCACAATGAAAGGTTAGCTATCGACATGGTCCCTGAACTTGACCGGAAAGGGGCTGCTGAACAGAAAAGACGAAAGGATCCTGGGGGAGCAGAGTATTCCAGGGACAAGGTCACACGCTATGTTCCCCTGGTGAAGGAAGATGCGCTTTTTTCCGAGCTATGCTGTGAAGCACGAACACCATCACTCTCCTGATCTCCTTCCTGTGGCCGGACGTGGAATCGCTAAAGACTAGGTGGACACAAAAGGGAAAGAAGTTCCAAAATTACAATAGCAATACGAACAATCCGATTTCCCAAACACAAAGTGGTGCGAGCAGCCGAGCACTTCGTCGCCATTAATTCTCAGCCCTCTTCATGGCCTTAGGTGTCTCTGACCCTGACCGCCAAGCGCATGGCGCAGAAGAACTGCCTGGTGAAGAATCTGGAGGCAGTGGAGACGCTGGGCTCCACCTCTACCATCTGCTCCGACAAGACGGGCACCCTCACCCAGAACCGCATGACCGTCGCCCACATGTGGTTCGACAAGACCATATACAAGGCTGACACCAGCGAAGAGCAGACTGGTGATTCGAGTGGTATGGGTGAGCCATGCGTGGAGGGGCCGGGGGCGGGTGTGCGGACACGGGAGACGGCTGGGCCCTGAGTGCAGACGAGGGTTTTCTCTGTCAAGTGCTGGGGGACAGAGCAGGATGCGAGTAAGTCCCTGCTTTAAACTCCCCACCCCCATCCTGCTCACAGCCTCTCCTTCTCCCTAGGGAAAACGTTTGCCAAGGGCTCTGCGACCTGGTTCATCCTGGCCCGAATCGCCGGCCTCTGCAACCGAGCTGACTTTAAGGCTCACCAGGAGACCCTTCCCATTGCTAAGGTATCAGGCCTGGCGGGGGAGACGATGCCTCGGTCAAGGGCATGCCCCGCCCTCTCCCTGGAAATCTCTATCCTGGCGCTTAGGGTCCTCCCCATTGCACCCCTCGCCCTGTGCCGTATCCCTCGGGCTCACCCTACAAATCCCGTCCCGGCAGCGGGCAACAGCAGGGGATGCTTCCGAGTCAGCCCTCCTCAAGTTCATCGAGCAGTCATACAGCTCTGTGAAGGAAATGAGAGAGAAAAACCCCAAGGTGGCAGAGATCCCCTTTAATTCCACCAACAAGTACCAGGTACAGAACCCACAAGGGTAGAATGGTGGTCGGGGGTGGGCTCGTCGTTTGGGGAAATGGGAGCTTTGCCTTCGCCTTCAGCCTCCCCTCTGAACAACAGAATGGAGACGGTGGATACCCAGCATCCCCATTAAGAGGAAGGCTCACCTCAAGGGAAAGTGACCAGCAGGGAAAGGGAGGAGCAGGTGGTAAAGGAAGAGGCATTCGACCCCAAGCAGAGAGCGAGGCTCCGTCTCTTGTGGAGAGAGCACGTGGGAAGTGTCCTGTGGGTAGGACAGGCTGGTTGGTGACACTCACGGTAGAGCCTGGGGCAGCCCTCGGAGGCATCTCTGTGGCTCCTGCAAGGTTTGCCCCTGCAGGATAAGGCTGGGTTTGCAAGGTTACCCTCTGGGCAGTGTGGAATGATTGCATTCCGCGCCTGGATTCTAGCACCTGCCATCAGGTAGGCGGCGGGGCGAGCGCTCCAGCACGTTTGCGAAGGTTTTCGTCTCTCAGGGGCATTTTACCCGCTACCCAGAGAGGCGTGACAAGGGATGGAGATACGCGGGCTGAGGGGCAGTGGTGGGCACTAACCCCGAGTGCAGGGGACAGCCAGCAAAGCCAGTGGGACTCTCCCACGGGAGGTCCTGCACACCTTGAAGAGGGGGCTGTGGGGGGTGGCGCCCCCACGACTGGAGTGCCACCAGTCAGGTTTGGGCCCCGCAGGACAGTCACGGTTTGCTCAGGGGAGGGGAATCCTCCAAGTTCATGCGCTACCATGAAGGTCAGAGGTTCAGGTGTGGGTAACAGAGAAGAAACGAGACTCCCCAAAAGTCAGTTTTGTTTTCCTGTCTTAGAAACCGCAGAAGAGTGCTCGCTTTAGCAGCACGGTACTAACATCAGAACAAGACACAGGAGGTTAGCAAGGCCTGTGCGCAGGCGAACTCATCAAGTGTTGTATTTGGAAGTTGCTAAGAGAGGAGTAGATCCCCCAAATTTTCCTCACAAGGGAAAAAAAATCATAACTAAAAAAACAATAATAAAATGACAAAAGCTATATAGAGTTTTGAGTTTTTAAAACCCAATTGCCTTTTCATATTGAACACTGAACAAGTAAGAGTTAAAGAAATAGATCCCGAGTTTTTTTGTCTCAGCTGACTTCCAGTCCGTGTAATAAGATAGGTCTCCTAAGCCCACACTGCAAACTTATTTCTACTTTTTTTTCTGGCGTTCAGTGGCCTCACAACCCAGACAAGAATTCTGTGCTTGGCAGGACCGGATTAAAGCCTGTGCCTGCAAAGAAGTAGATACTTCTTCCTTCATGTGATTTAAAATAAAAGCAAAACATATCCATGACATTTGTTGGGATGGCCAACAAAAGAGCGACTTTCCCCAAAACGACTAGATTAGTGTGCTTTCTGAGTGTCACGTGCAAAGGGCACGATCCTCCTCCGTGATGCCCCCACCAGGTGAGCTCGGCCAGCCGGGCGTTGCCCTCAGGGGTGGGCTCTGGGTGCGGCTGGAGCCCCCGGCTCTGCGAGGCTGTCCCAGCCCTCGGTTACCTGCAGCCTTCATCTCTTCCTTGCTCTCAGACTGAAATGAAAGGAAGGGTCTCTGTCCTGATAGTCCCAGATTTCTCCACTTTTTTTTTTTAAGATTTTATTTATTCATTTGACAAGGAGAGGGAGAAAGCACAAGCAGGGGGAGCGGCAGGGAGAGGGAGAGGGAGAAGCAGGCTCCCCGCTGAGCAGGGAGCCCGATGCGGGGCTCGATCCCAGGACCCTGGGACCAAGACCTGAGCCGAAGGCAGTCGCTTAATGACTGAGCCACGCAGGCGCCCCCTCCCACCTTTTTATCTGTAATTTTCTATCAAGATGTGATTTTTTCGCGACCAAGTTACTGACTTATAAGTAGATCTTGCTGCCACCTCCGATAATCTCAGTAAATAGGGAACAAATACGTATTAAGCACGCAGGAAATCAAGCTTTTTAAACCTCTTACAGCTTTCTGCTTCAACAAGTTAAGATTTTTCCTCTTAGCTGCTTAGGCGTATTTTGAATATAACTGAGAGCTATAGGATATATTTGAAGGTTTCTCATGGGACGGTTTTAACAGCACTTTGCACACAGGCTTCCCACCTTGGTTACCCTCTGGGCAGTGTGGTCCAGCCCCCTCTGCACCTGCTCCTTTCGAGGTGCTGGTTTGGTGACCAAACAGGCTTCGTAACGGGAAGTTCCTGGCTCGAAGAGGAACCCTATCACAGTTCCTGCTCACAGATCAAGGATCCAGGGAAAACGCAAAACCGAAATGCATCTCATTCCTCTCTCCTCCTGGCCTCTGGTCTCCTGAGATTCACTGTGAATCTGGCCTTCCCTGCCCCCAGCCCACCAGGCCGGCCCTGACCCCGACCGCAACCCCAACCCCACCACTAGCCCCTGGCACTTCTCAGACTGTCGGGAGAGTGGCAAAGGGATTACGATGACATAATCTGGACTGTGCTTCATAGTTTTCAAAGTACTTTTTAACAACTAATCTGACCCTCAAACAGCACGGTGTGAACCGCGTAGGCCCAGTTAAACACCGATGTTTTTCGATAAACACAGTACAGTCAGTGGATTTTCTCTTTCTTGTGATTTTTCTTAACATTTTCTTTTCTTGACCTCACTTTACTATAAAAACACAGCCTATAATACACAGAACATACAGAATATGTGTTAATTGACTCTTGATGTCATTGGTAAGGTTTTGGGTCACCAGCAAACTGTATTAGTAGTTAGGTTTTGGGGGAGTCAAAAGATATATGTGGATTTTTGACTGTATTGTGTCCCATAAAAACCCAATGAAGTCGGAAACACAGGATCTTTTGCATCGTATCAAAGGAACTAAGGTTTTGAGAGGTTCAGTGGATTGCCCTGAGGTCACAAAGCCTTCCTGCTGGGGGGACACAGGACCGTGGCCCCTACCTTCTCTTCCCGTCTACCCAGCTGCCTCTGCCTGGCCCACACTTCTGCTTTCCAGGCAGAGAGGAAGCAGAGAAAGTGAGAGTCCTGCTTGTGCTCTCAGCTCCTGCAGAGATAGTAGGGACTCCTGTGCAAATAACACAGGGCTGGGATCCCGGGACAGGAGGACAGGTGGGCTTGACCCTGAGTCAGATTTGCCTGGAGGGAGGGGGCTGCACTGGGGTTAGGGGACAAAGGAAATGGGGAGGGGGATATGAAACGGGTTACCTGTTGTTTTACCCTCAAAAACCTTTCCCCTGCTTTTCTGCCCCAACCCTTGCTCCCTCCTCCTGCCACAAGGATTCTTCCTCTCTCCTCCCTAGATGTCCATCCACCTGCAGGACGACAGCTCCCAGACCCACGTACTGATGATGAAGGGGGCTCCGGAGAGGATCTTAGAGTTTTGCTCTTCTTACCTTCTGAAGGGGGTGGAGTACCCCATGGACGATGAGATGAGGAAAGACTTCCAGAAAGCCTACATGGAACTGGGAGGCCTGGGGGAACGCGTGCTAGGTGAGAGGCTTCGGAAGAAACCCAGAAAGAATGACACCCACATGGTTATTTGTGGGGTGAAATTTCGAAGATGTTGGGGTGAGCGAGACAGGGACGTAGGCCGCTGAATGACTACTGGTCCCTCTGTCTCTCCCCAGGGTTCTGCTTCTTGAATCTGCCTAGCACTTTCTCCAAAGGATTCAAGTTTAATACAGATGAAATCAATTTTCCCATGGATAACCTTTGTTTTGTGGGACTCATATCCATGATTGACCCTCCCCGAGCTGCAGTGCCTGATGCTGTGGGCAAGTGTCGTAGTGCAGGGATTAAGGTAAACTCCTGACCATATCCCGGAAGCCCCCCGACCCGTCACAACTTGGAACAACAGTAGAAAGCCTTGCCTAGAGTAGGTTCTTCATAATCTTGGTTTAATGGATGTCTGTTTCCTTGAGCTTACGATTTTTAGTCTTAAGAGACTACCTAATAGGAAATAGTAAGTTTCTTCTGTAGTTAGAATCCTGTCTTGCATTGAACATTACAATCACCAGGGGACCTTTAAAAGTCTGATGCCTAGGGCCCCCCCGGGCACCCCCCAGCAGGCTCAGTCGGTAAAGCATGCGACTCTTGATCTTGGGGTTGTGAGTTCAAGCCCACATTGGGTATAAAGATTACTTAAATAAATAAATAAACTTAAAACAAAATCTGACGCTTAGGCCACACCCCAGACCCATTAAATTGGAAACTCTCAGGGCAGGATGCAGACATTTGTACTCTTCAAACTTTCTTTTTTTAAGATTTTTATTTATTGATTATTCATTTGAGAGAGAGAGAGAGAGAGAGCACACAAGCAGGGGGGAGGGGCATTGGGAGAGGGAGAAGCAGACTCCCCGCTGAGCAGGGAGCCGGATGCGGGGCTCGATCCCAGGAGCCGGATGCGGGGCTCGATCCCAGGAGCCGGATGCGGGGCTCGATCCCAGGACCCGGAGATCATTACCTGAGCCGAAGGCAGACGCTTAACCGACTGAGCCACCAGGCGCCCCCTTTCTTAAAACTTTTTTAGAGGGGCGCCTGGGTGGCTCAGTCGTTAAGCGTCTGCCTTCGGCTCAGGTCATGATCCCAAGGTCCTGGGATCGAGCCCCACATCGGGCTCCCCGCTCTGTGGGAAGCCTGCCTCTCTCTCTCCCACTCCCCCTGCTTGTGTTCCCTCTCTCGCTGTGTCTCTCTCTGTCAAATAAATAAAATCTTTAAAAAAAATTAAAAAAAATAAAATAAAATAAAAAAACTTTTTTAGAGATTTCACTAGGCAGGTAAGTTTGAGAACCAGTGTCCTAGGGTTGTGCATGTGACTCCTCTAGGGGTTTTGTCGGAATGCAAAATCTTGATTCTGCAGGTCTAAGACCCTGAGATTCTGCATTTGTAACAAGCTCCCAGGCGATGCCCTTGCCGCCGGTCTGCAGACCACAGCAGGAGTAGCAAAGGGCTAGACGATGTCAGGGAAAGGTGCTCCTGGGAAGGGGCTGGGGGCTGGAGTGGATGACAGAGAGGCTGAGCCATGGAGAGCTGAACCCTGGTTGCACCTGACTCGGGGCGAACAGCTACACCAACAGGCGCTCGTCCAGGCGTCAAAGCTAGAAACCAAAAAGAGTGAAACACAGTTGCAGAGCACAGTCCCAGAGGCGGGAACTCCTCCTCGGCCGGGGGGCTCAGACTGCATGGGATTCTTCTAGTTCTGAGACGTTCTGTACCCCACTTCCAGGTCAGATTCTGAGACTCACTCATCCTCACAGGTCAGAGACTGACACCTTTCCGGCTCATGACTGATATTCTGGATCCCAGGCCTGGGGGACAGCAGGTTGGAGGGTGGGGGGCGCTGGAGGTAGCTAAGGAGAACGAGATGCTATCTGTTGGAGCTGGCTTTATCTTAGAACTTTGACTGTCGGCAGTTTGTCTGGGAGCAGCTGGGCCATGCCAAGTTCAATGATTGTGGCTGGAGTGAGAACCGAGGGACGGATGGAGGAACTATTCAGAGTGAGTTCCTTAATCACCACACGCTGTTTGGGCGGTTGGTTCTCTGCAGAAGCAGCACGTCTGCATCTGCATAGGATGGCCAACGTCTCGACCTCCCCCGGCTCTCGAAGCCCCCACACCACATCATGGGAGCTAGCTGGAGAAGGGCCCATTTGAGTTTCCTGAGCATTGAGGTGGCTGTTGGAATGGGGAATTATACGGGGGATGTGAAATGCATCTCATCTGGGGATTTGTGGGTCCCTTACAGCAAGAAGAAGAGACTTACAATTGCCCCCAAGGTGGGGAGGCCCGAACGGGGCCGAAGGGCTGAGTTAGCCTGCGTGTCGTGACCGCCCGAGGCAGGCGAGTCCAAGGCTGGCTGCTGAAGCAGGAGGCCCGGGGGCTTTCTGGGCCAGTCCGTGTTCTGGGCATAGGCTTACAGTTCGCATTATCATTTCTCACTTCTTCTGGACCCGAAGCTGGCAGAAGTTTGGCAGACTCGGTGAGAAATTCTGAATCAGCCCCCTTTCCCTATAGGGGAGTGTAAAACACACACACGATGTCATCCTTCGAGGAAGACAAATGTGATAGACATAGGCGGGTTGTCGCGTAGGGTAGACCCTTCCAGGGCCAACACCAAAGTGGCCTTGATGCAGAGCTGATCGGAGAGCCCTGGGGTCACAGGGCAGCAAAGTTCTTACAAGGAGGTGATCGCAGGGCTGGTACTTCCCAGGTAGAACCACGTGCTCGGGCCTTTGGAATAAATGTAATTAAAAAAATGAATACAAGTATCCGTTATATTTGCCACTCACTGAGGCTGTGGGGGCCGTGAAGGTGTTTGGGCCTCGCCCGGAACCCGGCTCCTCCAAGAACCGCAGTCTGGCCGTGAGACCTACGGCCGTGTCACCAACACCGGACTCCGTCGCTCCGATGGGCCCCACACGGGAAGAGAAGGGACGAGGGAACAAGAGGGCAGCTCGCGAGACTACGTGGGAACAGCGGAGGTACGGCCAGCACCCACAAGTTGGAAATGAGAGTCCTTCAGTCCCTGACGAATCCCAGAAACCAGGAGACGTCCTTTACCTCAGAGGGAGCCACTCTGCAGGACCGCACGTCTGTTGTGCGCTGCGAAATTGCGTCCTGGGGACTCAGTAGGGGCGGGGGGGGGGTGGGGAAGGGGGTACTTTGTGTTTTTCTTTCTCCAGCCTGGCCTGGAGGTGGGACTGCCGGAAACTACTACGGAACGGCCCCTTTGAGCCAGGGTGCTCGGGGTGGGCGGGGGGGGCATCAGGATGACGGCGTACCTGCCCTCTGGGCCCCCCGGTCACCACGGATGAGCCGCTGCGGGGCTGTCCGGGCGCAGGGAGCCTGAAGGGCAGCACGGAGGGCTCGGCCTGCGTCACATCGGGAACATTGTAAGCTCGCATGCAGCCCCCTCCCAGACCCTCCCCGGGTACCCCGTGGGGCCGCGTTGGTGAGATGGGGACACTCGCCGTCCGTGCTGTGGGTACAGTGGCCGTGCTGGTCTCTGGTGGCCACACGGACTTCTGCGTCACCACCTCCCTCCAGGAAGCCGGGCTTGGACTCACGCTGCTCTCAGGCCAGCGCACAACGAGGCGGGCTCTGGGAAACACTCCCTACAGCCTTGTTTCCATGCTCTGAAAGCAAATAGATGGACCTTTCCAGGACCTTCCCAGGACAGTTCAGTCACAGCCTCGCAGCTGCCTTTCCCTCCATCGGAGCCAGGGAAAGTCGTGCGCCTGGAGGGCACTCGGGAGCCTGGGGCCGTGACTCTCAAGAAGCCGTCATTCTTTCATTCCTGCATCTGATGGCTGTTTGTGGAACGGCGGCTATGGGCTAGGCTTTGCGCAAGAGCAGAGCTTCACGAGGAGCCTGGACTCGGCCCATTCTTGCAGAGCGCTCGGGCCAGCAGACAGAGACAAGCCCTCCCCATCTGGAGCAGGACGAGTGCTGACACACAGAAGGAACAGAATGCTAGGACAGCCCGGAGCCAGGACCTGACCTTTGGGGAGCCAGGGGACAGGGCATCAGCAAAAGGGCTGGAACCCAGGGGAGGCCACGGGGGGAAGGAGAGGAAGAGTGAGGGTCAGAACGCACCCGGGCCTAGAAGATATTTTGCTAGGCAGATGGATTATTCCAGATGTCCCTTTATTACCATTTGGTCTATGTGTAGGTGTTTGTCTTTTGAGCTTACAGAAACAGAACAGCTTCTGGAACAATTCGGTGAAAATCGGAATATAGCAATACACCCAAATCCCCAATTTATGCCCGGGAAATCTAGAACCCAAACTGTTCTATGTGTTATGGTCTGGTGGTCCTGACCCAGTCCCGGGGGATGAAGCCACCATAGCGGAAGTCCTTGGGGACTACTACGAATAGCCCTCTGAATGAAGGTAGTGATCCGTTAGGTCCTGGAGAGAAAGACAAAGCGTCCAGGACCCCCTGAAGATGATTCTGCTCCCCTTCCTTCCCTTCCCAACCCAGGTTATCATGGTGACCGGGGACCACCCCATCACAGCCAAGGCCATCGCCAAAGGTGTGGGCATTATATCAGAAGGCAACGAGACAGCAGAGGACATGGCTGCGCAGCTCCAGGTCCCTATCAGCCAGATCAACACCAGGTGGGGCCCCTAAAGAACTCAGATCTGCAGTGCTTCCCCTCCATCCTCAACCACCCCACCCCGACCCCCCTCGCTACAGTTCCTGGAGGCTCCTGTAGTAGGTAGGATGTGTAGGGTTTACTTATTGCAAAGTAAAATGTATTAGGAAAATGACCCAGTGACTATGTCAGTGGGTTTTCAGAGGAAGTGGGTGGAAGGACGCAGAGCAAAAGGAGGAGAGGGTTGGAGGCAGGGAGGGGTGCAGCATGTCCATCTGGGGAAAGTGGGTGGCCGGGGACAAACGAGGAGCCGGGCTGAAGGCAGAAACAGGAGGGTATGGCGGAGGCTGGACAGAGGCACCAGGACCTCTGGGGAACTCTGAGCGCTCTGCAGTGGCTTGACCTCCTTCCCTCAGGGAAGCCAAGGCGTGCGTGGTGCACGGCTCCGACCTGAAGGACATGACGGCGGAGCAGCTGGACGAGATCCTCAAGAACCACACGGAGATCGTGTTTGCGCGGACGTCCCCGCAGCAGAAGCTCATCATCGTGGAGGGCTGTCAGAGGCAGGTGAGCGAAGCAGGGCCGGCCGGCGGGGTGGGCCGGGCGGGGCCTCGACGGGCTTCCTCCCCTGCTCTGGCTGTGCTTCGTCCAGGGGGCCATTGTGGCGGTGACCGGGGACGGCGTGAACGACTCCCCCGCGCTGAAGAAGGCTGACATTGGCATCGCCATGGGCATCTCGGGCTCCGACGTGTCGAAGCAGGCCGCCGACATGATCCTGCTGGACGACAACTTCGCCTCCATCGTCACGGGCGTGGAGGAGGGTGAGGGGGCAGGGTGCCCGTCAACTCAGGTGACAGGCGGGAGCTGGTGTGCGTTCTGTCATTCCCTTTGCCCATCATTCCACGTCCGTGACCCTGTACAGACTGGGAATAATCAGTGTAAGACGAAATTCTGTAAATTAGACTTGGCCGTAGTTGGAACATCACTGCCAGGAGCCCTTTTGTATGAGGTGGAGGCAAGTGCAGATTTGTGAAGGAGACGGGGACTCTGGTCCCTCACACACATTCCAGTGGGTCTGCAGCAGGTTCTAGGATGTAGCCCTTCCCTGGGACGACTCCATCCGCCACAATCTCCGGGGTCCCCAGGAACCTGTTGCCTGAATGATGTTGATACAATGAGATCAGCTGGAGGCTGATCTAGGAACTGACTGCATGAGCCGAATCAAGCACCCACTCTCCCAGAGAGTTCTGAAGACCACACCCACTGGTGAGCAGGAGAGCCCCAGATTCCTGCTTCCTGGGCTCCCTGCTTTCTGCCTGCAGTCATCTTGCTGAACCCTATGACAAGCCACATAAGAATAATAGTTATACCGTTTTACTGAAACCTAGTATGATCCCGACACTTTGCTCAGTATTTGGTATCCATTCAATTCAATTCATTTTTTGAGCACCAACCATGTACCAGGTTCTATTCTAGATCCTGGGATGTAACAATGGGAAATAAAAAGACACAAATCCCTGCCCTCATGCTCCTTAATTTCTAGTGGAGCAAGACAGACAGTAAAATAAATTGCATAGTATATTACGAGATCAGTGCAATGGGGCTGGGGTTACAGTTTTTGAAAGGGTCATCAGGGAAGGACTCAAGCCATCTTGCAAGGCAGGAGGAATGAGGCTTGGGGAGGTGCCCAACGTTACCAGCTCTTGCGGCAGAGAATGGGATTGGAACCCAAGTCCGGACTCTCTCCACTTCAGCCTTCAACCTCTAATGGCTTTTATGTTGGCGTTCTCAGACATCTCTAAGTAGCAGCCCGGCCCAGCCCTGTTTCATTCTCAGGGATCAGGTGCTATTAGCCCCACGGAATCCAAGAACAAGGAGCACTCAGACATGGCGTGCTCATAGAGCACGGCGCTAATGAAGAGCCATGCGATTCGGGACAAAGCTGGGAGCAAGGACTGGGTCGAGGTCTCGGACCTCCAGACCTTTCCATGGGCTGTGACTCTGCTTTGTAGCATTCTCTGTCCAGGAGCCGGTGTGTGGGTGGTGTGCTCTCTGCGCTTGTCACAGAAGAGTGGCCTTCCTCCCCCAGGCCGCCTCATCTTCGACAACCTTAAGAAATCCATCGCGTACACCCTGACCAGCAACATCCCCGAGATCACCCCCTTCCTGCTCTTCATCATCCTCAGTATCCCCCTGCCTCTGGGCACCATAACCATCCTCTGTATCGACCTGGGCACTGACATGGTGAGCCCCAAACTGGGACCCTGCTCTCAGAGCTGCCACAAGAGGACTGGGGAGCAGTCCCAGTCCCTCCTCCAGGGGGAGGGACAGAGCTCAACCGAGTTACTTCTGTGTTTCCTTCTGAACTTTGTGTCCCTTGTCACCCCCACCCTCCATCCTCCAGGTCCCGGCCATCTCCTTGGCTTACGAGTCAGCTGAAAGTGACATCATGAAGAGGGCCCCACGGAATCCAAAGAGCGATAATCTGGTGAACCACCGCCTCATCAGCATGGCCTATGGACAGACTGGTGCGGCCAGAGATATGGGGGGCTGGGGTGTGGGGAGAGGCTGCACCTGCCAGGCCATTGGAGTCAGGGAGATATTTTCATCACGACAAACTCTGTGCTGGGCCCCCGGAACACAAACAGCCACTGATGTGTGATCTGCCCTTGACTTACGAGTCCAGCCGAGAAGGAACAGACATACATAAAATGATAGCATCTTTCCCAGTGCCAAGAAATGAGTGTGTACAGGATGTGCGAGAGGAGAACAGAGCAGGGGGCTCAGGAGCCAGGAGGACAGTCAGGGAGGCCGTGTGGAGGGAACAGGACTTGCGCCTGGTACTGGAAGATCGCAGATGTACGGTCAGCCAGAGGAGGGGAACTCACGTGCCTGCTTGCAGAAGAGCCAATAACCAGTTTGGGGGGGGCCCTTGCTCCTGAGAAAGGAGCAGGAGAGGATGAGGCTGTGGATACAGGTAGCATTTACCCTGGGCCAGCCTCGAAAGACACTGGAGAGCCGTTAGAAGTCTTTGCTCTTGAATTGCCGGTGCAATGTTTCAGGGAGCAGGTGAGGGATGGACAGGGGAGATCACCCCAATATCTAGAGGAGGAAACACATAGAAAAAGCATAGATTTAGGAGCCAGACCTATGTTTGAATCCCAGTTTCACCACTTACTACCTGTATGACCTTGAATGAGGACTGAATCTTTTTTGTGCTTGTTTTCCCACCTCTGGAAGGTAAATAGTAGCTTACAATTGCTGTGAGAATCGACTTGGTGCACAGCTCAACAGTTGGTAGGCGAACACTGGTGTCCGCCACCGCATGGCCAGGCTTGGAGGCAGAGGTGCAGACTAAGGGACAGGCAAGGGGCAGTGGGGGAGGTGCGAGGAGAGGACAGGACCTGATGAGGGTCCACATGTAAGAGGAAGTGGACCCAGAAGAGTCCAGTGCTCGCTCAGGGAAAGAGAATAAATCCTCTCCAGGGTCCTTTCAGTTTTGACTATGTGACTCAAAGATGACTCTGGGTTAGAGCTCCAAAAGAAATGTCAGGCCTTGGAGATAAATCCTACAGATGAAGGGATCAGGTCGCTGATGGCAAGCATCTTCAGCACTAAAAGCTCAGACACACACCCACCCAGCTAGAACCTGGCCACAACCCCTTCCATGGTCTGCCTTTTGAGGTCCTTCTCTGAACCACATTCCTCTGTCCTGTGACTGTCATTCACAGGGATGATTCAGGCTCTGGCTGGATTCTTCACCTACTTTGTGATCCTGGCCGAGAACGGTTTCAAGCCTATTGACCTGCTAGGCATCCGCCTCAACTGGGAGGACCGGTTCTTCAATGACCTGGAGGACAGCTACGGACAACAGTGGGTGAGTTGAAGAGGTAATGCCTGAGACAGTGACCAGTAAGGGTGAAGAAGGGACAGGGAAGAGTGGAGAATACTGGAGAAGAGATGATACCTCATCTCCAGTCCTATGTGACCTCAATCTCCCATCACGTCGGCAAATACTCTTCAAATGAAGACTTTTCAAATGATGACTTCATTTCTGTTCATTCCTGCTGTCTGTCACCTGTCCTTACCTCCTTGCTGGATCTTTCAGCTTCCTTGGACCTGGAGGTCTTCCTCATCATGTCAACTTTTGGGGGCTGATTTCTGTGTTGCCAGGTTCTAGGCATCATCGCCCCAAAAGTGAGTGCTGGGTCTTCTCTCTCTCTCTTCTCTCTACCTTCTAAATACCTCTCGCCATTAATTCCACTGATCACCACTCATTCATTCATGAAGCATCTCCTAGGTACCAAATACTCTTCTCTCTGTTTCGCTCCCTCCCTCCATGGGAGTTCAAATAATACGACTTCAAGTCTGAAAATCTATGTGCTTTGTATCTCCCTTTCTCACCTTTCTAAACTTGTTAAACCTAGAGGATGCCTCTCTGTAGTAGTCTTTTGTAAAACCCAAGATGAATGAGGTTCAAACTGAAGCCCTCTAACCAACAGGATGTATTCAAGAATTCAACAAGATTGAATTCAAGAATTCAAGTATGCTTTTTCCTACCTGTGAACATGCCTGTCCTAATTTCTAAAACAGTGGGTGATGTGACACCAATTATTGCTAGAATCGTAGGACCACAGAGGATGCAAAGTCTATAGAAGACACGTGGTCTGATATCATCACTCTGTAAACAAGGAAACCGAGTCTAGAAAGATTTTGCGGCTTGTTCCAAGTCCCACAGGGCATCCCTAGAAGGGCTTCACAGGAGCTCTGTACTGGTTCCTGCCCAACACTCCCTCCTTCACCATGATGCCTCCAAACCAAGCTAACTGTAGGTTTCTCAAAAGTGTGTTAGAATCCTGGTTGTTGGGAAGGTGCCCCTTGTACACACTTGGCTTCCCCTAGCCGAGCCCCATGAAGCCATCAGGGGTCAATCTTCCCAGCCACCAACATTGCTCCAGGGTCCAATGATGCCCAAAGTCATTACATTGTCAGCATCTCCTCGATCCTCAACTCCAGCCTTTATTAGTTTTATATCTTGACACCATCTCCCTGCTGCCAGGACACAGCTTAACATATATTTATTTGTAATAAATTAAAGGTAATTAAAATTAATTTGAAGTAACACCAAATTACATCAAAGACATCTGGAGGTATTGCAGAATGGGTTGAGAACAATCGCCCTGAGGAATAAAGTTCATAAAGGCAGGGTTTATGTCTCTTCCATTGCCGTCATCTTCAGGTAATCGCATACAGAGCCACCCCCCACCCCCACAGACTGCTAGAAGCAGGGAGAGCTCTCTACCTTCTAAATACATCTCGCCATTAATTCCACTGATCACCACTCATTCATTCATGCAGCATCTTCTAGGTACCAGATACTCTTCTGGCCCTGGGGTCTGGTATTGAACAAATATGGTCAAGTTATTGCTCTTGTGGACTTTATATTCTAGTGAGGGGCAGGGGGTGGGAGGGGAGACAGATAACAACCAAATATGTAACCTACAGGGTCAATGGAACTTAAGTCCGAGTAGAGTCCAGGAAGTGTTGGAATTGAGACACCAGAGTGGGCGGGATGGAGAGATCAAGTGGTGGTCAGAGGGGAAGAGATGCTTGAAATGGAAATCACAGAGAAACTAGCTATTGGCAAGGACAGATCCGGGGTGTGACATGGGCGCCAGCAAGCCAGGTGGGGAGTGGAGGGCCACACCGCTGGAGAGGGAGACTGAGGGACGCTGAGACCATGGTGGTGGAAGGATCATCCACATGGATGTTTGAATCCCCAGAATCCAGGACAGGAGCAGGGCTAGTCAGGGCATCAGAGCTAAAATCTGCCAGCGACCACAGAGCACTTGGGTGGCCGGGAGCGACCTAACATCACAAACGGGCCCGTGGGACTCACTCCCCACGCAGCACGGGGCCCATCAACTTCCAGCCTTTGTGTTCCAATCACTTAAGGCGTTATTTTCCCTCCAAGTGCCACAGCCCATGAGGCTCGATACGTCTTGTCGTCAGTCCTCCACATTCTCAAATTCTTTATTCAATCTACCAGTTAGAACCATGATGTTTTCATCATTGAAACATGGCCTTTTTTCTCCCGTCTAAGGGAGATGCATCTCTTCTCTATTCCCAAAGTCCTCTCTGACCTCTCTCGGGACCTCTTATGACGCTGGCTGGCCAGCCTACTTATCTTCCCCACTAGACTTAGGTTCCTTATGTGGAAACTATGGATGCAAGGAAGACCCAGTGGGTGCATGAGCGCTCCTCTCCTGTGCCGCCCCCTCAGGCCTTCTCTTCACGGTGGATGCCCTCCGGCCCACCCTCCCCTTCGGAGCGCTTTCCTCTGCCTCTGTTCTCCGAGTCTGCCTTCCCCCTCACACCACCCTTCTTGTTCACCTGCTGAATACTTCGAAGCTGTACACCGGCCACCCCCTGAACTAAGCATGGGAGGGCGGCACCAAGGTCAATGAGACAGGCGCTTACCCTTGAGTTGCTCTCGGTGGGTCAGGAAAGCATGTCAACCACTCACAACCCAACACGGGAAGTGCTGAGACGAGATGGTGGGAAGTGTGGGGGCCTAAGACCTAACTCGGCCTTGGGGTCCAGGAAGGCGGGAGAAGGAAGAAGCCTATGAGGTAGATCCAAATCCCTTCTGACACGGTCCGTCTCCACTCTGCCCGCCCCCGCAGACCTACGAGCAGCGGAAGGTGCTGGAGTTCACCTGCCACACGGCCTTCTTTGTCAGCATTGTGGTCGTGCAGTGGGCCGACCTCATCATCTGCAAGACCCGGCGCAACTCAGTCTTCCAGCAGGGCATGAAGTGAGCGTCCCCTCCGCCCCGCCCCACCTCACACCTCCACACGGGGTGCAGGCTCCCCTACCTCTCCCTCCCTTTCTCCAGCACACCCTTCAACATTTCTTCCCAGAAACAAGATCCTAATATTTGGGATCATGGAGGAGACCTTCCTGGCTGCTTTTCTGTCCTACACTCCAGGCATGGACACGGCCCTGCAGATGTACCCACTCAAGTGAGTAAGGGAAGGGACGCAGGCTGGGGGGTCTCCAGCACGGAGAGAGCCTGGGAGGGGAAGCAGCGTGTCTGAACAGGGAAGCCACGAGCTGGGGGCTGCCTGGATGGACAGAGCTACCCTCGGTGATACAAGGAGAACCATCTGCGCTCCCACAAACACATCGTATTTAGGGAGGGACTGGGGCTTGTGCCAAATGATGGCACCCCGCGAGACATGCAAATTTAGCAGACTTAACCGCACTCAACACAGGGGCACCTTTTTTTTTTTTAATTTTATTTATTTATTTGACAGAGAGAGGCACAGCGAGAGAGGGAACACAAGCAGGGGGAGCGGGAGAGGGAGAAGCAGGCTTCCCGCGGAGCAGGGAGCCCAATGCGGGGCTCGATCCCAGGACCCTGGGATCGTGACCTGAGCTGAAGGCAGACGCTTAACGACTGAGCCACCCAGGTGCCCCAGGGGCATCTTTTTTATGGTGTTGTGCAGCGTAGCTGTTCAAAGATACAAACTGCTTGGAGCAGAAGAAAACATAAAAATAGCCTAATGTACGCATGGCTAATTCTGTTGTACTTAGGCAAACATGTTCAAGGAGCATATGTGAGTGGGTGTGCAGGAATCCTTACTGTCTGGTATCTTGTTTTGTTCAAAACAGGCCCATGTTTTTGTTTTTTGGTTTGTATTGTTTTTTACATTAGTATATCCTTGTTGTGAAAAAATTTACAAGGAGGGGCTCCCGAGTGGCTCACTCTGGTGAACGTCTGACTCTTGGTTTCAGCTCAGCTCATGATCTCAGGGTCTTGAGATCAAGTCCCTTGGGGCTCCGTGCTCGGCGGCCAGTCTGCTTCCCCTCTCTTTTCCCTCTACCCGTCCCCCAACCCGTTTGCATAAGGACAAGTGCTCTCTCTCAAATAAATAAATAAATCTTAAAAAAAAAAAAAAAAAAAGAAAATTTTACAGGGAGTTAAGCAAAACCACCAGGCCACCCCCCTCATCGCGCCACCTGCAGAGGCCGTCTATTAACGACCCAGCATGTGCGCTTCCAGCTCATCCGCTCTGAATTCACAACACCTCACTCAC